CCTAACCCTAACCCTAACCCTAACCCTAACCCTAACGCCTAACCCTAACCCTAACCCTAAGCCTAACCCTAACCCTAACCCTAACCCTAACCCTAACCCTAACCCTAACCCTAACCCTAACCCTAACCCTAACCCTAACCCTAACCCTAACCCTAACCCTAACCCTAACCCTAACCCTAACCCTAACCCTAACCCTAACCCTAACCCTAACCCTAACCCTAACCCTAACCCTAACCCTAACCCTAACCCTAACCCTAACCCTAACCCTAACCCTAACCCTAACCCTAACCCTAACCCTAACCCTAACCCTAACCCTAACCCTAACCCTAACCCTAACCCTAACCCTAACCCTAACCCTTTTTTTTCACGCATCCAGCTCGTGTCCTCAGTAGTCGGAGGAGGGTGACCATACGCTCTGAGTCAAGCCCATAGTTTTGGGTCCCCCCACTCACTGATACTTTAGATACCCTTATATAGCTGAATTAAACCCGACCCGCTTTCAAGACGAGGTCAGGTGGGGAGTTTGGCTGGGGCGGCACATCTGTAAAACGATAACGCAGGTGTCCCAAGGTGAGCTCAATGAGAACAAACCTCATAAGGATGTGGAGTAAAAGGACAAAAGGGATGGGCAGAGAGTCATTTGAAAAAATGACCTATCCCCTAACCCCTAACCCCTAACCCCCTAAACGTGACCAGCGCGCGTGGGCATTCCCTAACCCGTGCGTGGGCTTGGGGTTAAGCATTTTCACCAGCGTGACAACTACTACCACACCAAACACCATGTCAACTACAACCTCAACGCAGACCAGTGAACAACCACACTCACCGTCTGCCTCAGCTGACTTGACTGAACGCAGGTCCTTTTGGCTTCGCCTGAGGGAAGGATGTGTGCGAATCGGGGGAAGCATCAGAGGCATGTTCATTGAGCTCTCATGCGCCTGCAGATCGCGCGAGGTATGTTCCCTTGCTCAACTGCTATTCGGCATTTAACAAACACCTCACTTTTGCTCGTCGATCCAGCATCATCTCACAATGTCGCGTAACATCATGCCACTCGACCAACTTCTGGTGGAGCAAAGTAGGAACGACGACGTCTCCTGCGATCAGCAAGATGCTCCCGAGGACGAACCTGCTCAGGAGACAGCAGAAATCAACCAGAACATGGAGACCGATGTGAGCACCCACTCCGACACGCAGACCGTGCAATCCAACAAAGATGACACCAATGACAAGCAAGATAGCCAACCCAACAAGAAGGCCAAACGACAAATCAGTGATCGGCAGCGCAAGGCACTCGAGCAGTCTAGGAACAAGAAACAGGCAAAGGCACAGGAGCGACGAGAGCGTGAACGCCGCGAACACTTTGAAGCCATGAAAGAACACCGCATGCAGGAACTGGATGACTTCTTCAAATCTCGCCTCCCAAACTACCTTGAAGACTTTCTGAAGCAGAAGAAGGCAGTATCGCGGGAGGCTTCCGCATCATCATCATCATCATCTTCCCAATCGCAGCGGCAGCCTAAGCCAACACAACACCGACATGCCCGTCAGCCTGATCGTGCTATGCCCCCACCCCGAGCCCCTGTCAACAAGTACTCCAAGCTGTTCCGCAGGTGAACAGGCTGAAACCCAATAAACACTTCATCCATTTTCAACACTAATTAATACACAACAAGTGAGCAACGGCATGAGCGATAAGAAGCCAGACACGGTCCCGCGCATTGCGCACCCAAACACACGGAAGGCAGACGAGGCTCGGAAAAGGCAGATCAAACAGAAGATGGGCCTCGTCGAGCCAAAGAACCTACCAACGCGTGCCATCCACCCGGTCAACGTCAAGAAGCACTCCCTCAAGCGAACCGTCGACGTCGAAGGCGGTCCCCTTGACAAAGTACTCCCAGGCATCGTCCTCGTCCTGGGCACAAGCATGAGCGGTAAGACCACGTGGATCATCAACGCAGTTCTCCAGAAGGCAATCTTCGGCAAGCTCTTCGACATCCTTCACATCGTCTCCCCCACAATCGCTGTAGACGACGCCTACCAGTACCTGATTGACATGCCCGAGTCCAAGCTGCACCAAAACTTCACCGACGACACGATGAAGCAAATCACGGGCGCAACCACCGAGGCCAAGCAAAATGGTAAAGAACTGCACCAGGGCCTAATCATCGACGATGGCGTGAGTTCAGATGTCAGCAAGCGGGGAAACCCAATGCAGTCATTCGCCAGCGTCGCCCGCCACTACACGGACATGACCCTCATCTCAACACAGGACCTTCGCGCAACCGCTCTCCCAAAGTTCCGCAACCAGGTACGCCTCTACGTCATCATGCGTAAGAGTGCAGAGACCGACAGGCGAAACCTCTTCCGCGAGCTCGGTGCTTACTTTGGAGGCGAGAAGAACTTGGAGCGTCTGTTCAAGGAGGCAACCGACGGAGATGACCCCTATGCATTCATGCTCCTCAATGTTCCCAACCAAACTGCTTGGAAGGGATTCGACGAGATCCTGTACTCTGCCTATGACCAAACCTTCTGATCTGTGCACATGTCATTTTTCAATACACGTTTCCCGCCAACATCCAACATGAGCAGGGCAATCAGCACGCAGCACCACAGTGTGAGAAATGGCATCGCATCACCCACACACAAGGTCATCTACGATGTGATCAGTGGCACCAGCTTTCACAACACAAAGTCCGTAAAGAGAAAAGGCAAAAAACGTAAGCTCGTCCGACGCCCCTTCACATCACAAGCATCCGGAGGGCATGTTGGAAGCATTGCCATTGGGGCCGCTGCAGCAACTTCTGCAACAACCAACCCTTACCTTTATGCGAGCAGGAACAGCTGGGGGCCAACCTCTTCCCGCAACACGCAGCAACGGACAAAGGCGACATATGGTCCTGTGAGGTATGACAAAACCCTGGGCTCCGATGTTCGGCGTGGTCCCTATGGCGCAGAAGCATACAGCAAAGAACTCGGGCGTTGGATGCCGCTCAGCTCACGCGGGCGCCCTGTAAGACGGGAATACGCCAGGCCAGACGACGAGCTCAAAATGGACGTCCGGGATGAATCCGGCGTGGGTCATCAGAGTATGAGCGCACAGTTGATCAAAGACAGGATGAGAAATGCTTATGTCCAGGACGCGTACGGACAGAGCTCACAGTCCCTCGATGAACTCCTGAACACCGGGTACATCGGGCAGCAGACGTCCGCACCATCTCCCACTCAGACACTCTCGGATGCGCGCGAACTTACATCTTCCACCGTCAAGCAGGTCGGCGAGCTCAAGAACATGACTGATGTCCACCGAGAGAACCTGATGAAGGCACTCAAGGCAGGCGGGATCAATGACCAAACGACCACACAGCTAGCACTGGATGCGCTTAATCGGCATGGCACAGATTACCGCAGCGTGGACTACGACAGCCTCATAAACCAAGCACGCCAGGATGCACCGGCCCGCAAGATCGATCAGGCACGACAAAAGGGAGAAACCCAGTACTGGCTCAAGTCCACCCGATCCATGCTTTCTCACCTTCCAGAGTCCAACGACAAGTATGCCATGCAGGCTACGCTTGACGCCATTGCATCTGAGAGGGACGCGCAGCAGCAGGACAGTATGATGAGCTCATTCGACGAGGATCACCGAAAGCTCCTGCAAGACAGCAAGCGAACATACGACGCTCAGCAAGCACTCACGGAGATTGAGAAGCAGCGCCCTGCACCAAAGCCCAAAATGCGCACCAGCACCACACAAACCAACACACCGAAGGTCACATCAACCGAAATGCAGACAGACGAGGCAGCAAAGCCGAAGCTTACCAGTCAAGGCATCCAGACCAACGCGGTGACAACATCAACACAACATATGCAAACAGACAACCCCGCAACCACCACACAGGGCATGCAGACACAGACCACATCAACATCAACTCAGTCAGCACAAACACAGCAGCCACCAAAGCCACAAACCGCATCGACCTACGTAGGTACAGATGACCTCGACGCCCAATCCATCGCCAAGGAGGTCACCCCTCCAATTGTCTCCCTGCAGCAGCATGCAACCCAATCAACACTCAGTGAAGACGCTAGAGCACAGGCGATTGAAGAACGCCAGGCAAAGTATGGCAAGGCCCCTCCAAGCGCGCGTGTCAAGGAGAGTCGCACCAAGAAGAAGCAGCAGCAAGCTGAGCTCCGGAGTCAGCGCCGTCATGAAAAGCTTGATGCCAGCAGGAATATCAACGAGGCATTCGCTGAGCCGGAAGCACCACCGCCCCAGCAACCTGTGCGCCATGAGCGACGCCGAGCCAAAGAAATAGGTGTCGAACATGATGAGGATGATGGTCGTTCTACAAAAGCACACAAGCCGTCCCACGATACCACCGCAGCGCAAGTGAGCATTCCAGACACCGCTGCACCATATGCCGATTTCGGGGATGAACCCGATGTCATGTCATAACTGCGAGAGTATGCGTTTATTGTACCTTACTGAAGTCAACCGATGAAATAAAGCGATGACCATTGCATTAGGCGCGAGAGAGCGACACATATGCGTCAAGGTCGCCCGTGTTTGCACCATCAGTGATCTGAAAGCGAACCCACTCGGCTGCCAGGTCATACGTGGAAAACACCTTATCCTCTGTGCTTACAGTGACTTCTGCGAGATGAAACCAGAGAGAGGGGTTGCTGTCCTCAGGCGAAACCTGAAGGCGGTACGTAAAGGACGGTGTGTTGGATGAGCTTGCGTACACTGTGACGAGGGAGAACCCGTTGGCATTGATGGGGTCGGAATTGGTGAAGGTGCCTGCTGCAACTGCTCCAGTGTGTACGAGGGTGGAGTTGGTGGTGAACTTGCTGTTCATCGTCGTCAAGCTGGTTTCCGTAGCTGCCCCCGTGGGAAGTGGGAGGGGAGCCTGCAGCGTGCTCCGTATTGTGTCCAGAGTGGCTTCTGTCGCCACCGTGTTTTCCATGGATAGTTTGAAGGCATCCAGTGTGGTTTCCTTCGCTGCGTTGTTCGGAAGCGGCAATGGGTTCACCAGCTGATTCTTGACATCCGCCAACGTCGCCTCAGTTGCAGCGCCCGTGGGTAGCGGAAGCGATGCTGCCTGGATGTCTAGGGTGCCCTCCACAGCGGTCTTCACGCCCGCAAGTGTGGTCTCAGTTGCAGCGCCCGTGGGCAGCGGGAGTGAAGTCGCCTGCACGTCGAGGGTCCCCTCCACAGCCGTCTTCACGGCGCTAAGCGTGGTCTCAGTTGCGGCACCCGTGGGAAGCGGTAGCGACGTTGCGCTCACAGACACGGTTCCCTCCACGGCATCCTTCACCGCAGAAAGCGTGGCCTCCGTCGATGCGCCTGTTGGGAGTGGAAGGCTGCTAGCGCTCACGGGCTGGGTGCTGGCGGACGAGTCAACCAAAAGCTTGCCATCAGAGTTGGTGAGCAAAGTGCGAAACTCCCGCGTGTCATCCCTCCCAAGCACCACTGTAGTGGTTTTAGGGACTTTGGCAGGGTGTTCAAACGATATGGCTGTACGACTCATGTTGAGCTGTTTACTTCTTCGTGAACAGCAGGGTGCAAAGAAAATGACACCAGGAAGCACAATGCACTCAAGCATCATCGCAGGGAGTGATTTCCTTCACAAACAGGGAGCAACCAAGACGCTCACCATCATGCTTGCGTGAGAAACGAATGTCTCCCCTCACATTGCAGGGCACGCCGTCGAGCTTGGGGTCCGCTGTGTCCAATCCCCAGGTGAGGCGGATGTTGACAATGTCGTCCTTGGGCCAGGTGATCTGGTACATGTCTGGATCGATGCGCTCCAGGCAGCCCCTAAGGGTGCCCATCATGTCGGCGGCTTGCACGGGAACGTCGGGGGTGCTCTTGGCCACCTCAGCCACGGCAGTGCGGATGGTGCCCTTAGTACCGCGCTCCTCCCAGGTATCGGGCTTGATGTAGACGTCGGTGAGCTTGATCGGGATGCTGGTACGCTCTGGATAGTCGTCAGGCACAAAGCGAGGGATCTTCTTGGGCCCGCTCATGCCGTGGTAGCTGCTCTTAAAGAAAGCCAGAAGCTCATCTGCATTGTCGATAGCAGGCATCGCCTTGCGCGTGGGCTGGAAGCCAACAGTGACGTCGTCAAAGTTGGGCCGACCAGCCTTGCGCTGCTGGCGTGGGCGAGAGGTCGGGGCCTTCACGGGCAGACGGGGGATGCGGGCGCTCATGGTGAACTTGGTGAACTTGGTGACTTGAACTTGGTCCTCGGGCAGTGTCTTGGCTGGCTCAAATGAAGATGGAAAATGAACATCCACACCCCACCCTCAGCCATACATGGTCAGCTGGTGTACATTGTCGGCAAAAACTGTTTATGTACATCTTCCATGAACATTCGGTATCGCGCAAGAACAACGTATTTCTTCGTCCACTCGTCGAGTTGTTCTATTTCTGGTAATGTATTGCATCATAGCAAACCTAGCCAGTCGAAAATTTACCATAATTATTCGATGAGTCATCGCTACCCCTCGTTTTCTTCGTTCACTCGTCGAGTTGATCTATTTGTGACAATATATTGCATAATACCAAACCTAGACAGTCGAAAATTTACCATGATCATTCGATGAGTCATCGTTACTTCTCGTCGAGTATGTGCAGTTATGGTAACTCATAACTACCTGTCGTTGAGCACTCTGGGCTGGCGCAACTTTGGTTGTTTGCATCGACGCCATTTTTTCTCTGACATCAACTCGATCAACAACCATCCCGCCTGTTTGACAGTTCTGCAAAAGGTTACCATGCCGACGCGTCAACCTTACCATCCCTTCGCAGGAGATGATGATGGTGGTGATGTTTGGGATCTGCCCTTACCACCTTATCAACCCTTCCCAGGAGACAATGATGGTGATGATGTTTGGGACCATTGGGACCTGCCCATGCCACCAGCACCACCGCGACCACCACCACCACCGCCACGTCCCATGCGCCCTGACATGTCACCACCACCACCACCCGAACCCGTCATGGGGGCGACGACGACACCAGCACCACAAGAATTCATGGACGAGGCCGACGATGAGGAGTTCAACCGCCTTCTCTACAACCTCGCTGAAGCTGCGGAGAGCACCCAAGTAACCAACGGCACAACTATCATTGCTACCGCAGAGCAGGCTGCCGCCCATGCTTCAAACATCCAGCACACCCACGCCGCCAACTACGCCATCAACCCGGATGCAGCTGGTCTCACCCACAATTTTGAGGTCGTTGCCCCCGGTGCAGCTGTACCCTTTCGCGCTGTTGCCGCAGACGAGCAGGCACCCACATCTGACACGGTCCAGACTAGCTCAGACATCATCATCAACTCTCGCCGACACTTCCAGGAGCAGGTCATGTACACGTTCACAGCCAAGATCAACTCCATGCAGCTGCTGCAGGACAACCTCACTGAGATGATGGTCAACGGTCGTGAGACCATGAGCCAAAACGATTTGCGCACGCGCGTCACTAACGCCTTCGTCAACGCCTACATGCGCGAGCGCCCCCTCACCGCATCATCCAACATTGTCATCGCCGGCGACGTACACTACAGCGTCAACCGCCTCTCATCAGGCGGGGGACCGGAAACACGCGCACCCGCCGAGCCGAGCGGACGCGTGCAGCAGACAGTGCGGGGTGGTGACTTTGATGCTGTTCGACAAGCTGTGACGTCCCATGTTTCCGGCATGCTGGACACGACGATGTTGTCTATGTCGAGCTCTGACGTGGAACTCGAGCAGGTTGTCATCAACATCTCCATGGATGGCGTGCGCACTGGTGCGGGGGTGCCTCAGGACTTGGCCGACCGACGCGCGTTCTATGAGACATTCAAGATTTGTTTCGGCGCAATGGATGTGCCTGCCAACCCAGACACGGGTGGCAAGGAGATGCGGCTCGGGCAAGACATGTTCTGTCCTGTCAACAGCGGGGCCGATTGCTTCTACCACTGCCTGTACTACCACATGGCGCGGAACGGTGTTAGACGTGCTTTCAAGAATGCGCACGTTGACGCCATGCACTTGCTCAGCGGTCAGCCTGTGCGCACAGCCACCAAGGATTTCCTGAACGCCAGCGCCCGCGTGAACCAGAATCTCTCCCGCCACATGGTCACCTCCCACATGCTTCGTTTATGTGACCAGCAGCTTCCGGACGCCTTTGCGGAGAACACCCGCGGCGTCTGCATCGAGGACGTCTTTGAGATGAGCATTCTCGCACTCAGCCCGATTATCACCTTTGATCTCAACCGAGACATGCGGCTACTGCCAGAGTTCTCCGTGTTGCACCACGAGCTGCTTCGCGTCCTGCGCCACACCCCGACCGACGCCTCCATTCAAGAACGGTTTGACTGGTTCATGACCAACTGCCGCGGCGAGGATGGCTTGCCCAAGTTCTCGGACGCTCCGCATGTGCCGGCGGGTCGCCTTTGCATGACCCAGCGAATTGCAAGGGACAGCCCGAGCCGTGCCACGCTTGGCGCGAAGCGGTTTCTCGACATCCCAGGGGTGACGCTGGAACGGATCCGGCTCTTCGGTGAGCAAAGCCCACAGCATCAATCGCAATTTCTTGCGGAGAAGGACCGCGCCGTATGGCTCGGCTTCAACAGCAGATTCTCCCACTTCATCGACTTTGCCAAGAGCACGCGTGTGAAGGTGTGGGTGCAGAACGTGTCGAGCTCCTACAATGGCCTTGGCAAGATGAGCATGTCCTCCCGTACTTCATGGATCTGTGTCATCTGCGGGCTTGTTATGGAAACGGCCAGATCGAAGCACAAGTGCATGAGCAGACGCTGCGCAACATGCCGCCAACACTTTGGGAGTCTGGACGCTTACCTCTCCCACGACGAGCGACGTCGGAACGAGTATGCCGATGGACGTGTACGCGAGTGCAGCGTCTGCCGAAAGCGCATCAGCAACAGCTGCTTTGACAAGCACCATGACGAGTGCTATCAGCGCAGCCTTCGACAAACGACGGACGAACACAGGGCAAGTGGCGAGCACGTGGTGCGCTGCAACTTCTGCCATTCCATGGTCACGTGCAGCGGCGACTTCACCATGGACACACACTACCACACAGACTGCCAAGGGCGGCAGCGCAAGGCCAAGAGGTGCTCGAAATGTCACGTCGCACACCCAAAGCAGCAGCCGTGCCGAATTTCGAGAATTTCCAAGACGACGCAGCTGGAGTGGGAGAACACGGATGTCTACGTGTGGGACATTGAGTCTTGCACAAAATCGGTCGACGGAAGCACGGTGCACGTCCCCAATTACATCCATGTTCGCCTCCTTCCAAGACCAGACGTTACTTGGGAGAGCGACCCTGGTGATCACCGGAAGCGAGGAGCAAAGCCCACGATCAACCTGACTCAGGAGGGGTGCGACGCTTCCACAACCCTTACGGAGCGAGAACGCAAGACACAGGAAGAGTGCGAGCGCAAAGCACTGCTGCACTTCAAGCAGGATGAGAACGAGTGGGAGTTTGATGACCTCACCTACTTTCTCGAGTGGGTGCACAAGCTCGCGCGGAGATCGGTGTTCATCGCCCATAACAGCAAAGGTTATGACGCCTTCCTGCTCAAGACGGCTGCCATTCGCTCTGGGCTCTATCCAGCATACGAGCATGGCAGTGGGCAAAAGCTTGATGGCCTTGGGTTCAAGGTGACTGCAGAAGACGAGAACAGCGGGCAGGTGCGAACCATCACCGTCTCCTTCATCGACTCCATGAACTGGTTCCCAGGCCCTCTGAGCAAGCTGCCGGTCACGCTGCAGTGCATCAACCGCGACGTGAGCAAGGACGTCTTCCCGCACTCCTTCCACACCTCGGAGCATCAGCACTACGTTGGCACACTACCTGCACGCGAGCACTGGGGCGACATATCTGATGGTGATTGGCAGGCGCTGTGCTCGCGCTTTTTCACCGACAGCGCGCACATGTTCGCGTGGCAGCAAGTGCTGTGGGAGCGCGGGGAACAGCAAGAGCACATGTCGTACGAAGAGCAGACACAGTTAGCCAGGGAGGTCAATTTCGACAAGCAGCCGTTTGACCTGCGCGAGTACATGAAGTACTACTGCAAGGAGGATACGCGCGTGCTTGGGCTTTGCATGGCGGTGTGGCGCTACATCAGCCTGCGCTCGTTTTCCGTTTGCCCACTGATCAAGAGCACCACGGCTGCTAGCTATGCCATGCATGTGTACCGCAGCTGCTTCTGCAAGCCGGAAGGCATCCCAACCCTGACTCGGTTTCACGAGGAGCTAGCCAGACAAGCGTATGCTGGCGGTCGCACGGAGAAGCTCACACCCTTTATGTGTGTGCGAGAGGACGGCCTGGACGACATTATTGGAGACCTCCTCAGCGACGACGAGCGGCAGAAGCATCTCGACGCATGCCGCAGTCGCTATGGCAATCGCCCTCGCCTGTCGTACATTGATGTCACGAGCCTCTACCCCACAGTCATGTTCTTCGACAGGCTGCCGTGTGACCCACCACAAACATACGTGAGCCAGCTATTTCTTGGCACGCTGCTGCCGCATGAGCGACGACAGTATGTGGCACATAAGGCGAAGCTTCTGGATGAGCTTCCCGATGGGTGGGAGAACCAGGAAGGCATCGTCATGGTCGATGTGAGGACCAAGCCCGCGTCGGAGCTTCCCGATGATTGGGTACCGCTCGTTGGCACCAAGAGCACCACCACCAACGCGCACAACGACAAAGACCGAAAGTTTGTGTTTGGCTGCATCGAGCATGCCAAGACGATGACCCTCACCATGTTCGACTTTCGACTGCTGCGCGATGACCCGAACTACTTCATGGACACCATCTACCGGGTCGACCTCATGGGCAGCGGCAGCAAGGACATGTTCAAGGAGTACATCAGGTTCCTGTACAAGATGAAGGAGGAAGCGTCTGAGCCACCTGCCAACAGAGAGGAGGCTGAAGCGTTGGCTGACCGCGTGCGGCGAGAGCTGGACGTTGAGCTCTCTGTCGACAAGCTCATGGAGAGCGAGAACAGTGGGCTTCGTGGTCTTGCAAAGCTGCTGCTGAACTCGCTCTTTGGCAAGTTTGGTCAGCGCACGCTCACCAAGACAGAGTGGATGAGCCTGTCGGAGTATGTGGATTTCCTGAAGACCAAGGTTGTGCGCCACCCCTACCGCTATCGGCTCGCGAATCGGCGCATCTACGGTGATCCTGAGCATAGCAATGGCGACTTCAACGCGCGCGTGCGCGTGAGGTACCTGGACATTGAAGACGACAGCACCCGCCTGCGCACGAACGTCGCCATTGCCGCATACATCACAGCTATTGCCCGCAACCGACTCGTGCAGATGATGCGCGCCCTGCAGCAGCTCGGTTGCGCGCTCGCCTACTGCGACACGGACAGTCTTGTGTTCATGGACCCGAACGGCCGCACGTTTGAACAGCTCAACAGTGCCCTGCAGACCATTGGCTCGCGATGCGAGATTGGCAGCATGCTTGGGCAGTGGAAGCCAGAGTACGAGGAAGGGAAGCACGAGCTTTTGGAGTGCGCGCAGATTGCGGCAAAGACGTACTCGCACAAGGTGCTCTGCGTCAACGGTTGCTGGGACAAGAAGAAGAACAAGCCGAAGCATCAGGCGGGTGAGCTGTTCTACACTGTTAAGTGCAAGGGGATGCCAGTGAAGAGGAAGAGCGGGCGCACAACGGATGTACAAATTCCAGGCATCAACCAAACATATTTCCTCAAGGACGAGAAGGATTGGCACTGGGCATACAAGCAGATGGTCTTTGGACAGGCGCAGCAGGTGCAGATCAGGCAGATCAACGCAGCCAACTTCGTGCGCCGACATGGTGACATGTACATGGAGCGACAGGCAAAGTCGTTCACCAGGACCGGCAAGGACAAGCGTGTGATGCACCCGGATGGACCCCTGTTGCCCATGATGCCGCTGACAGTGCAGCATGCTGGGGTGGATGACGAGACACACCCAAGCAAGAAGGCAAAGACTTTCTATGAGGAGCGACGAAGCACAGCACCGATGGATGTTGGCCGCGTGATTGATGAGATTGCACCTACAGATGAGAGCCTGCAAGCACTGTTCACAAGCGAGACAGGCGACGACACGCTCGCACACATCTTGGAGCAGGTGAACGAAGCCTCGCTCATGCAGCACGCCGAGCTGCCGTCCCCGCCGCCGTGGGAGCAGCCTGAGGGTGAAGATGGAGAGGAGGAGGAGGAGGAGGAGGAGGGGGAGGAGGGACAGCCCGCTTATGCTTACACACATGCACCCGCACTGTGAGGGTGTGCAGCACCAGTAAACACAAGATCAGAAAATTATGTAAGATTTTGCAAATTTTCGTCAGTAGGGAATTTGATTATGATTTGCTGATATTTATGTAAGATATTGCAAATTTTCGGCAGTAGGGAATTTGATTGTGAGTGGATGAATTTTATGTAAAATATTGCAAATTTTCTTTACTGGGTCAAATACGCTACCATATGTCGTTATATGGCTCCTAAGGACTACTACGTCACTATACGCTACTCCGTTGAGAAAAATTGTTTTAGTCTTTTATAGGTATTTTTGATATTATCATTCAGCAATCGATGCGATAGCCTAGTTGGTATCTGGTCGGGCCTCCTAAGCCTTGCACTCGGATGACACTGGTTAAAATCCTCAGGGGTTTTTTCAAGGTCAGCGGGTTGGTACGGACAAAGCCTGATGGTACTGGATCTCTGCTAAAGCGAAGAGAGCTACATGGCTCTGCCACACGAGGGTTTCCTCTAGGTACTGCCTGCATATGCAGGTGGCCTCGGAGTAATACTTCCTGACTGTGGGGCTTGGCAGGACTCTGTTCAACCAAGGCATGTTGCATTGATTGTTACACCACCACAGCGTTTGTTGTGGCTGTAGTGGGCTCTGGCCAAGCCTGCTGCAGTCTACGGCGGCGGTGTTGGGGGTGGCCACCACAGCGCTTGCTGTGGCTGTAGTGGGCTCTGGCCAAGCCTGCTGCAGTCTACAGCAACGGTGTTGGTGGTGCTTCCAGCCATGCTGGGGTGTGTGAGTGGCTTGCCTGCTCATGCGCCATGGCATTGCTGTAAGAGCTTGGGTTTTTGCCCTTTGACTTTTTATTCTTTGGCATCACGTCTTAGCCTTCTTCGCCTGTGGCTCAGAGGCAGCAAGCTTCTCCAGCAAAGGATTGGGCAGGACAAAGTCAAAGGTAAGCGACACAGAGTACAAGGGGTTCTCTGCGTTGACGGTGTTGCTGTTGAGGATGCGTCCGGCAAAGTCTGTGAGGAGGATGTCGAGGCTGCGCGTGCGGATGGTGCTGGTCGTGTTGATCACATGCTCTGTGGGATTGTCTGGCTGGTAGAGGATCTCGTACATCTTGTGGTCGCGCCCCTCCACCACGCGCGAGAAGATGTTGGAGCGCTGCGTGCGGTCATCGATAAACTCAATCACGCGCGCGGCCTGCCCATTGGAGAGGAAGCTCTGCACTGGGATGTTGCGCAGGTGCACACACATACCTCCCTTAAAGTCAAAGGGCTCGGGGATGGCGTTGCTGTCGTAGCTCGTGCCTGAGCTGAACTGCAGCCAAGACACATCCTCTTTGCTGTGCCCGGGGACATAGAAGCCCATCATGCTGTAGAGCTGGTTCAGGTACAGGTACACGCCCTTGTACTTGTTGCTGCCATCTGCCAGGTGATCGCTCGCGCCGGCAAAGGCCAGCATGTCTGTGCTCGTGTCGGCGTGGAAGGGCTCATACCCGGGTGGGAGCGGCACCCTGCCCAGCGTGCCCGTGTAGGTGACCAGCGGTGTCGACCCGCGCAGATTCATGGCGTGGTACACAACGGGCTGCACGGTCGTCACGACATCCCCCAGCTTGCTGTCATAGTGCACCGCAGCATTCAGCGGCGTGGTGCGCGCGCCCGTGTCGTAGGTGTACGTGCCGACGGGCAAGGCAATGACCACGTTATCCACGCCCGCCTCCTTGGTGAAGCGAATGCGCCATGTGATGCTGTTGGCGTCGGGAAGTGTGGATTCGCTAATGTCGAGCAGGGCCGCGGGCATGTAGGCGTCGTACCCGGTGGAGGTCCCGCTGCCATTGTCCAAGTAAACCAGCGTGCTTGCGTGCTGCTTGGAGTGGATGGTTTGTGCTGTGGTCCATGAGAGCTTGTCGGTGACACCACCTGTCTGCACGACATAGGGGAGGGAGCGTGTGGCGAAGGGCTCACCGAGCTGTGTTTGCGCACCGTGCGAGGCACGCACGGGTAGCAGGTAGGGCTCCGTCACATCGTTTCGGTTCAGCACATCCTGGTACTCACACAGCGCGCGGTGCCACATGGTGCTGCTGATGAGCACGTCAAACTCTGCACCCGCGCCCACATGGCTCACGTCAATGTCCTGGCTGCCAGCTGGGTCCACGAAGTAAGACACATCAACGCTGCAGGGGATGTAGCTCATGTCGTCCGCTTGCACCAGGGCCGTTTCCCTGGTGTATGCCGACGCCTCGGTGTTTGCAGCAACGTCGCCGGAATCCAACCCAAGCGTCCCGTGTGATACCAGGCCCGACGCCGTGGTGCTCTTCTTGTAGGTGTTCTGCTTGACCTCCTTCCACACGGGGACCTGAACCGCCGCAGCCGACGCCGGCACCTCACCCAGCTGCGCAATGTCGTCAAACTCGTTCTGCAGAAACACCATGGGCATGTATTCGTCCTCAAAGGCAATGAGGGTGTCCAATTCACCCACCTCGCCCACGCCATTGCCGTGCTCATCCTCCCACTCGCTGTTGGCGTTGAATATCACGCTCAGCGCGTACTCAGTATCGTTGACCTTCGTGCACTTTGCCGTGAAAGTAAACACCTTCTCTGTCATCCCTGTCATGGGCGTGGATAGCGTGAGGGTGGATGCCGTCTTGTCGCGCACAAAGGACATGGGGTCGTTCACGGCACTGTTCTGCTTGAACATGGCAAGGTCTGCGTTCGTAAACGTCGTCTGCTGGGATGCAATGGATCGCAGGGTCATGCTTGCTCCTCCACTGAGCTTGGTCTGCGTGCTGTCGAGTTCCGGGTGAACGGTGGCCTCCATCGCAGAGACAAACTGAAAGCCCTCCACGGGCTCAAACACGTTGAGCGCTGCAAAGGGATAGGCTTGCTTGTGCCCGTACTGCTCCGTGATGGTGTATGCCGTGTCCTTTGCAATGAGACCAATCACCACCATGTAGCGGCTGTTCATGGCGCGCGGGTTCGTGGAGGGGGTGCTGTCCTGCGTGACGAGGAGCGGCATGCCCGCAGTCAGGCTTGTCGCGTCCCCTGCACCAGCCGTCTCTGGCAGCGGCAGCGTGTTGTAGGCGTTTGTGGCCGTGGACAACCACGCCAGGTTCAGGGATTCAAAGGCGTCGGTCCAGCTGATGCTGGCGTTCTTGATGTTTCGCGTGAGAGCAATGTCACCATCCAGCGCCTTGAGCTCCACCCACGCAGTGTCGTCCTCTGTGATAATGTTGTTCCCGCTCGACTTGGCGTAGGTATCGATGTTCGACGCCCGATCGCTGGCATCCGTAAACACAGCCAGGCTGTCCGCCACCACAGGATCGCTGATGGTCACCGTACTCGTCGTGGTCGTCATGCTGATCTTGAAGCTGTCGTTGTCCTGCGTGCTCGTGATGGAGTCTGTGAACACGACGTCAAACTTGACATTCTTGCCCGTGAACAACTCCGACACGGCAAGCTTCTCATTCAGGCTCGTCTCGATGGCGCTGGCCAGCGTGTCACCGTTGTAGTAGCCCGGCGCCACCTCTCCCTTGAGCACGGTCCCGCTGCTCGTGGTTCCAGCGGTGTCATAGCCAACAGGTGGCGCATCGTTGCTGTCGTAGTTCACAATGACAGCCCACTTGTTGTTATCCTCCGTCACGGAGTACACCTCCGCAGACACGAGGAATCTCGCGCGCTTGAGTGAAACGCGGGAGCCCGGCGCGAGCAGGAGCTCCGTCGCAGTTGTGGATGTGAACTGTGATACTGGTCCAAACACACTCCCTCGCGGCTGGGCGAGGCCCGCCGACATGTTCTCCACCGTCACAAGCGGCATGGCTTGTAAAAAATACTGGTATCAATTGGTCAAGGGGAAAATGATCATCTTGGTTTACTTTAGGCCACGAGTGTTGAAGAGCAGGTTTGGATCAATGTCAACGTTGCTCACAAGGTAACCACGCAGCTTGGCAACATGTGTCTGGTTCTTCTTACGACCGCGCAGCTGATCAAGCCCAGATTGTTTGTAGACTTTGTTCACCTTGATCCTGTCCTGCACATTGCACTGCGCGCGCTGCACCTCCTTGTGCTTGCCGCGCGTGGTTCGTTTCTCATCCCTCATCATAAGTTCTGCCTCTCGCTTCTGCCACACGTCCATCGGGGGAACAGGGTTGTAGTGCAGCTCGCTGAGCGGGACCCCAACGAGCGGGGATGGGTCGTTTGGCTTCAGCCGCTCTTTCGGCTTAACAGACGACGCAGGCTTCGAAGAGCAACATGTGCCAATGTCGACAAGCAGGCTGCCGTAGGTTCCTGTTGCCTTACGACGCGCGCTTCCCTTCTTTGTGTTGTGCTTTGCCATTGCCTTGGCGCTGTGCTTTGACTTGGTCGGAAAGACGAGATCTGCTGTTGATGCTGTACGTGTAGATCCACGCTTTTGAACCGCAGCTCCAGCATTACTGCGCCGAGTCTTGTTCATCAATGCCGTCAATCTGCCTGCGAAGCCGCTTGATCTTGTTGAGGATGAGTTTGCGCTTCTGTCGAAGCTTCTTTCGTGCACTCAGGGATTTGAAATGTGGTCGGGTCCGCTGAAGGAGGTCCTGTACAGCAAATGGATTTCGCTGAGGGCTCAGGGCAGATTCGCTGTTGCCGAAGTTCAGCTGCAGGGCATATGTGACTGTGCTTGCTGTTGTGAGCTCTGTCCGGTCCAGTGGTAAATCACGCGATTCGTATGATGGGACCGCACATCTGCGCACGCTATCACCGTCCACGCTGTGAGCCTGCACGGCAAGGTATTCCAGGAGCTTCCTGTGCGTGACGCGGTACCCGTTTCCCCAGTCGCCAGTGGATGATAACAATTTGGCCATCGCAAACGTGGACATGGTGTGGAACCCAATCTGAAGCATGTGTGGTGATCCAAACTGGAACTGAAGGGACACTGCCGCTCGCTTATTGAATAGAGGGACCCAGTTGGCACCTTCGAAGGTAACGCGCTTCTCCCAGTTGTTCTCAAACTCGAGAACCACAGGGTTGATGGCGTCGTTGAAGTTGTCAATCGTGTACGGCCACCAGTCCACACCACAGGCGTGTTTGATGATAATGTTGGCCACCCTCTTGTTCAAGTAAGGCGGATCCTTGAACAGGAAACCCGGATCTCCCGGTCCTGTGAAGATGCATGTCTTGAGGCTGATGAGAAAGTTGTAATTGTTCAGCGAACGGCCAAAGTCCTTGCGGCGAAGACAAGGCACGACTCGTTGCCGCTTTTGAAGTTCGCGAAAGAGTGTCTGAACCTCTCGCTTCAGACGAATGCATGATTTGTGGTGCTCCATTGCAACTTGAGCTGTTTCTTCATCTTCTGGATATTCACCAGCTGCAATGAGGTCCTTCACCACATTCACCTCGTGTTGTAGCTTTGTGAAGCGTTCCTGCACGGTGTCCAATGCAGCATCAATATCTCTTAGATCGCTCGAAACAGAATCGCGCCTCAGTGTTGGCGGTGGTGAGCTCTGGCATGTCATGGTTGGTTTTGGATTGGTCTGCTTGGGTGTAGGTGGAACAGGTGTAAATGACACGTGCGTATTCATCAGTGTGACAGGTATGAGTAAAATAACAAATGTGTATTGAGCAGCGATCCAGGTCAAATGTAAATGAAACCATCAAGCATGCTTTTTGGCGCCATTCTGGTATGACCACGCTGAGCATCTGGACATTTGGCGTGAACATCATTTTCTCGATTGACGCAAACCGCTAGACATGGCGCACCAACCACTAAGAAAACGATCCAAACATGGTGGCAGGGATGCTGATGCTGCACAACTCCCTGCTCCTCCCACGTTTGCAAGCAGCATACGTTCCGCACAACCACAGACAGTCTATGTGGAATGCAATCGTGTCCAATCAGCCAAGGACCTGTTGGATCCAACGACACGGCTGAACGAGGTCACTATGGAGATGAAGGAAAAGCTACCCATCCGTGCGGGAACCGCTGTTCAGGCAACGCAGGTCACTGCAAACAGTCGCGGGTCGGGCGATGTCATCGAGGTCGTCAGGAACATGTCGGTCACAATGCGCATTGGCTACTACGTTGTGCACAAGCCAGTCAATGGCAGCCTCGTCTACAGCACAGCGCGCTGCTTAAACGGCTTTGAGGGAGGCGGTGTTACCTTCGCCAGAAGCAAGACACACTGCGTACATGTGCAGACGCCAGCAGACACGGACCTGGGCTCTAGCACACCCATCTACCTGACCACTCCAGCAGCCAACGTCAGTGGCACTCCACCCGACACAAATGATGGCGGGTCCTTCTACGTCCCGCTGTTCAGTCAGACCACAGCCAGCCTTGGGTGTGCCAAGCTGCTTCCGCTCATGAATACGCAGCTGGTCAACGGCGAAGCACCAAGCGGGCAGAAGGTGATCGGCTACGAGTTTGGCACGGACGGTGTTGGGATTGTGGGAGCAGCGCACAGCAGCGATGACACGCTCATTGCGCCCTACTTCAAGAAGGTCACCCTCACCTTGCCCAAGGGTAACTACAGCCCGACAGATATCACATCCATTCTCAATCGCCAACTCAGCAAGGCGAATCCTGTTGTCGTGGAGGACCCGGAGCAACCAGGCACCACCAGCCACCACCTCACATACCCATATCACACGAGCCTCCGCACCGTGTACCGAGGCACGATGCAGTGCTTCACAGATGAGATTCCGGCCTCTGTCTCTTCTGTCTATGGGATTTCCAGGGACCCAAACAATGCAGAGGGCAAACCTTTACCAATCAAGCATTGGTATCTTGAGGACACCTTCTCAGCAGGAGGTACACCGTACCCGTACAGCGATTATGGTGCCAAGTTTATTCAGAAGCCCGTTCGACTGGACAAGGACCACAGCTACTTCATCCCTTGCATCCTCGGCGGACTAACGCCCGCTTTCTCCTTCGACACGAACAACAGCCGGTTCACCCTCACGGGACTGCACCAGTCCTTTTCCGAGTCGGACTTTGAGGAGATTGCATACCCAGACTCCCAGGTGATAGAGTCAAACGGGGTGGAGAAGACAAACAGAATCAGCATTGCTGCACAGGCAGCGCTCGGCGTGGACTACACGCGCGCCAATGGCGCCTTTGAGAAGCAGGACTACGCCAAGCCAACCCAGGCCGATGGCACAGATGCCATGTGCGTTGTTGGCATGGTAGACCCGAGCATGCCAAAGGCAGGTGCCATCACCCACTGGAATGGCTGCTTCATCCTCAGCTGGTATGAGAACGAGGAGGAACTCGAGTTCTGGAACGTGCTCGGATTCAGCAACAGCGACGTGGTGGGGAAAGGCCCGCAGCCAAGTTCACACGCCCCTATCGATGGCACCTACCACTACTACACAGCAAAGGACCTGTTTGATCAGTGCAAGCAGGCGCGAACAGACGAACGCATCGACGATGCGCTCTTTGCTGGCAGATACCCCAACACGCTTGGCAATACCATCTATGAGCCGCCATTCCAGCAGACGTTCTCGCTGCAACGGGCATTGAGCGATACGCATAACACTGCACCCTCGGGTACAAACCCACCAATTCCCATGTACCGCGGCGACCCTGACGATGACCCTTCCAATTGGTCCACCATCACCCTCCAGTCCTACGAGCACTTGTTCAACATGCTTGTGAGCAGCTACTACTGGTGGTTCGCGCCGCCTTTTTTCAAAAAGCAGGGCAGCGCGGAAAAGTTTGATCCTATGGCAGCCAACGTACCGAGCGCCACGAACACGCGCTTTGTTGTGAGCACAAAGCATGAGCCTATTCGCGCATCCAGCCTTCCTCGCAAGCTGCAGTTCCCAGACATGCTACTTGTCTCGGATTTGCCCATCTACCCATCGCAGCGCCACTTTCTCAGCTCTGGGCAGCCATGCAACGTTCTGGCAACCCTGAGCAAGACCTATGACACAGGTGATTACTTCACCAGCAACTCCCCTGGACCGCAGTTTACCATCAACGAGGAAACGTCCCTGTCTCATTTACATTTGAGCCTGATCAACCCCGACGGATCCATACCACAGAACCTGAATGGTTCCATTTTCATCCGTCTACGCTTTGTTATCCCACCACCAAGTACGCCTACGACTCAGCAACAGCAAGCAGAGCAACAAGATCAGTCATGACAGATGCCAGCGATCCCGCGCCAAAACGTTGCAGATCCATGCACACGCAACTGACATGGTTTGATGCTGAGCACATCCAGGCAGCAGAGCTCTTGGAAAAGCTGCAGGAAGAGCGGGGCGGTCAGCTCGAACTGGAATGGCGCAGTTCTGGCGCCAGAGAATGTACTGTCACAGTGCATCTTCGACGTGGAGACGCAGTGCCAAAGCTGCATCGCAGCGAGCTCCGTGGCAGTGCAACGGGAATTCAGGGCTGCGTTGAAGTCAAGTGGAACAACCAGACATACTACTGCGGGCGTGGCACAACGACCACGCTCACGGACAGGGACGACGTTGTGTTTCAGTTTGCTTCCCTACCAATCCACGACATTGCACACAATGCCATGTCTGCTGTTGTTCTCATTGCTCAGAACATGGAGGTGGAGGTGTGTGTGTATGACTTTGAGCGACATGCTCCTGAGTCTTTTGTGCTTGCACGTCGTTGCCTTTGCGTGGCTGCCCTCTTCCGTACACCGCGTCGGTTCATGGGGGATGCTGTGCATCCACTTGACAACGACGACGAGTGGACAGATGATGATGATGATGATGATGATGATGATGACATGCAGATCACTCGCCAATCCAGCATGTGCTTTGAGGAAGACAATGTCGTGTTTGAAGAGTCGATTCATGATGTCGACGGATTTGTGTTTTCCTTTAATGTACGCGCAAATCCAACACACATGTGCACACAAGAGTAGATGGTCATCAGAGAACACGTGAACGAGAAGAAGCAAGGATGAGAGACTCGGCACGTCCAATCCACACCACAACCTGGTTCTCAAAGCTGGCACCACCCGTGTTTGAGGGTGGCGCACGCGCCTTGTGCCGAACCAGAATGGGCTGTCGCGAGATGTTGGACTCAAGAATGAACGGTACACCCACTGGTGAGAACAGTCCCATCCACCGACCATTCTTGCCCTCTGTGGAGCTACTCGATGCTGTGCCATCATGGGTCTTGCCATCGTAGATGATGCTGGGAATGTAGTAGTTGTCCATGAGGCGTGATGTTTGAAGCTGAAGGTCAACGCCGTCGTACAGCTGCTTCTCAAAGTAGTTGACGTTGTTGATGTTGAGATTGAGCTCCGCAAAGGGTGGGGCGAGCTCGTAAGCCCCAAGCCGGTTGTTGCCAGAGGCTGCTGAGGACGACTTGCGCCGCATGAAGAGAAGCTCAGAGAGGATGCTGTTGTCTGCACGAATTGGTACATCCTTGGTCGAGGAATCGTTGCTGGCGGAGATGGGAAGCTGCTTGGCAATGTACTGCGTGTACATGTACCTGCTTGAACCACTCATCACCTGCTGATTCACAGCGTCCAGAATGGGCTTGGGGAGTGTCAGGAAGTCGCACATGAGAAATGGGTCCTCAATCGAGTAGGACGCAATGTTTGCGTAGGACACGAGGCTCTTCTTCACGGCGGCGCTTGGATCGCTCGGTACGCGGGCGGCGGTTTGTGCGAGTGTGCCACCAACCGTGAGCAGGGAAGCCGCGTCCTGGTTCAGCACGAGCTCAATGCTCAGCTGTTCCGCGGCCATGGCAGGGTAGCGGCGAATGCTGTTGAACAGGGACGGGCACAGGGACATCATCGGGATGGTGACATGCGACTGCACACTGCGTCCAAAGGGCTGGTAGACGTACTCCATCTTCCTGAGCCAGGTCGTGTTGCTGCCGCTGTCGGTGCCGGATGTGCGGCCATGTGGTGCCGCTGCAAAGTTCTCCATGGCAAACGGGTTGGAGCCGAGCGTAACCTTGCCATAGCAGTCTGCAGAGTAGGCTGTGCCGCTCAGGTCCAGGTAGCTTCGCACAAACTGTTGCTGGTTAATGGTCAGCTCAGGATAGTGTGTCGCCATCCACCATGCAAAGTAGTCGATGCGCTGAACCTCCTGCTGCCCAATGCGTACAATGATGCTGTCAATGACACCTGCGCCACCAACAAGGGCTGGGAAGGCCTGGCTCCAAAAGTCCTTGGACTGGTTGCTGGGTAGGGTCACGTTGATTTGGAAGGCGAGGTAGCTGCCCTCAATATCCAGGATGGATGTGCGTGGGACGCGGAACAGGATCCTGCGGCTTGTCTGCGTCTCTGCGCTGATAATCTGAGAGTCCGCGTAGACGGCGTCATTGGAGTTGATCATGGGTGGGGCCAGGCGATCGTGGATGCCCATGCCATCATCTGTGGCATCCTGCGCTGGCTCCTGCTCCGTCACCACGTCATCGACCGGCTCCACAGCCAGTCCCGTCGTTGTAGTGTCGTCGCTCATCTCGTTCTCTTGCTTCTCGCTCTTTTGTGAACGTGGCTTTGCTTCTTTTAGGTGTTGAGGAAAATGCATGCTTGTTGCTTTATTACTTGAGCACACTCAGAGCACTGCAGAACGAACAAAGCCATCAGCTGTAGGTGTGACGGCACGCGTGCCAAGGAAGAACACATGCATGATGGCAGGCTCGGTAGGTGTTGTGAACGCAGTCTTGTAGGATCCAGTCGCAATGGGGGCTCCCGTGTAAGCCGGCGTGGACGTGGAGGTGTCGCTCAGATAGAAGTCAATCTGTGGGCGGTTCGTGCTGTTCATGTTCGGTCCCGAGGTGTACGTGTCAATCGGGAGACCAAAGATCCCAACGCGCTGATCGATGGTCGTGCTCGCTGCAACAATCTCCCACGGACCAAGTGCTTCAAACCCAGCCATCTTCAACTGAATCGGGCTGATTTGATCAAAGTAGGACACACGCTCGCCGTTGATCATGAACTGCCCGCGGTCCAGGCTGAAGTTGTCCAGTGATTGTGGATCCGTCTTACCCTGTGTCCTGCCCATGCTCAGGAAGTTGAAGAGCACCGTATTGACTGCGGGTAAGCCTGGCGCAAAGCTTGTGCTGTTGAAGCTGTTGTTGATGCTGGTCATGGAGTCTGAGAAGGACTGGTAAACCTGAGTACCATCCGGTGCCATGCCACGCATGAGGGCGGCAGATGGCACGGCATTGCCCGGTGCACTCAGATCCATGTTGGCGGGTGGTGCCATGTACACGAGCGTGTACTCCAGGGTGACATCGGAAATCTCAAAGTTGACGTTGCTGATGCTCTGCTCAGCTGTAATGGCGGTGCTGGCGTTTGGTGCAAACAGGAAGAGCGCGTTGTTGTTCAGCTCCAGCTGCACGCGAATGCCGCCATGAATTCGAAGACCGAGGTCTTGCTGCCCTTTGCTGATGCCCGTCTCCAGTTGAAAGCAGAAGCGTCGCTCGTTCAGGTTGTTGATCTCATTCACATAGATCAGGCTGTCATTGGTCTGCTTGCCCGTCACCTTTGTTGGGTCCGCAAGTACACCGAGCATGCCCGCTTCAGCTTGGCGCTGGCTGCAGATGGCATTGCTGCTGCTCGTTGCGTTGAGAAGGTGCGTGGCCAGTCGCGGGTAGTTCTGCACCCGCTCGAGGACCTGGTTGCTCCCTGTTGTCACGACCACGCTCTTGATCATTCCGTGAAGACCACAGCTTGGGGAGAGAAACACGTCCTCGTAAGAGTTGCCGCCAGCGGGACCCGTGCCGTAGCTGCACTTGATCTTGCCACGCAGGCGAAAGCCGTACTCAGCAGAGACAAATCCATCTGTGTCTGGAAGCACAAAGTCCAGCTGGTAGATGCTCTTGTTCGCAGAGTAGGAGCCACCATCGCCGTTTGCCGGGGAGAGGAATACCTGCTGTGCCTGCCGCCCGCCCGGGGTGAGTTGTGTCGTGCCCTGCATCATACCTCGGCGCGACATGGTTGCTGGTTGCGATTGCAGTCTCTTTTTCTCTTTGTCTATGTTACTCACTCAATGTGGGGATAGGGAAAATGAATTTATTACACACGACTCACTCAGAGACAACGACGCCAGCAGCGTTGCTCACAGTGACACGACGCTGGTGGGCACAGAAGCAGTGCATGATGAAGGACTCGGGAGTGACCTTTGTGAAACGCACGCGCAGATTCGGGTTGGCTGTGAGCAGGTCTGCAAAGCCACCATGAGCGGAAAGGCGACGTGGGATCACAAGCATGCTGGATTGGTTGCGCAGATCCTTGACGGGGAGGCCAATGTTGGCCAAGGCCTTTGCTTGCTCCTGTGCGTTGACACCTGCAGTTGCCAGTAGGCCTTGCGGGCACTTGCTCAGGGACTCCACAGACACTGGGTGACTCGGCTGCTGGCGTTGATTGATTTGCCACTGCCACTCCTTGAAGCCATGCTCGGACCCGCCACCTTTGGAGGTCACTCGGTACGAGAGATCCTTGGGATCCGCAGTGTCAATCGGGGTCTTGAGGATGTCTGCAAACTTGACAGAGTTGAGCCACAGCGACTGGTTGTACTCTGGAATTGCAAACAGGGAAAACGCCCTTCGCTGCGTGAAGCTTGGGAGGTTGATGGTGTAGTCATTGACACCTGCTGGGATGGGCTGCGCCACATGCGTGTAGGTCATGATGTCAAAGAAGGTTCCGTCGGCGCTCTGCATGGCCTCCTGCATCGCAGCCTCCATGTCCAGGCTGGGGGTGACGGTGCGGAAGCGGAAGTTGATCCGCTGTATCTCGTAGCTGAAGCTGTCCGTCTTGGTGTCCCAGCCTGCCTGTTCATGGCGACGGAACCAGTTGTCTGCATTGGCCAGGTGCCAGCGCATGCGAAGACCACCGAGGTGGTTCACGTAGATGGTGTTGCCCTGCGGATGCATGAACATTGCAGAAGGAATCTCGTGCATGACAGGGACAGTGCAGCTGTAGCTGATGTTGGTGATGGGTCGAATCACATAGTAGGTGCCTGCGCTCTTGTCCAGCTCCGACGATGATGCGGTTGTGAAAGCCTTGTCAAGGCCATCAGCGTAGGGGCCATAGACAGTCTTGGTTCCGTCCTTGAGAATCAGGCCAAAGATTTTGTTAGTCCCGGATGCTGGAGAATCACCCGCTCGCACATCGGTTGCGAGTCCGCAGTATCCAACAAGCTTGCGGTCGCTCGACTTGGCGGGCTTGGTTCCGCTTGCAGAGCTGGGATCGTCGGTGCCCTGTGGCTGCACGGACCAGACCTCAAACACATTGCCGACAGCGTAGAGGTAGGGCTTGATGTTGGAAGGCAGGTTGGCGTATGCACTGCCGCTGTTGACGCTGCTATGCACAAACTGGAAGAAGCCGTTCTTTGGCGAGCTGCCGTCCTCAACAAACTTGAGAAAGTTCTTGTAGTTGCACCAGGAATCCTCGAGCGGATCACGGTCAATGGTGAGCGCGGTAATGGGGGAGGCTGGGTTGAGAAGACCTTTCATGATGGCTGCATCCTCAATGTTGCTTCGGCTGGGCTGGTAGAGCTCGCGGTGTGCTGGCTTGACGAGGCCAAACTCGTTCACGTCGACGGTGGCAGATGTGAACAGGCTGTCGTTCTGCTTGGCAATGGGGTCCTTGCAGTAGAGGTGCTTCATCGTGTTGATGAGGTCCAGGCGCTGGGTTTCCTCAATGACCTGTCCCGTGTCCGTTCGTGTGACAATCTCGTCGAAGAGGGTGACGGCACCAGCTGGATTTGGCAGACGCAGAGAGGAGCAGAAGTTGAGCCCCGCTTGGTTGGCATTGACAAAGGCGGTGTCGTTCTTGAGGTTGCTTGTGCCCGTTGTGGCTGCCATCTCACAGCCGTATTGAAGATCCATCATGACAGCGGTTGTCTTCTTGTCTGGGGATGTAGCAACAGTCTTTCCGTTGGCACTGGAGCTGAGCACAAGGTCGTACTCCATCTTGCTGTAGGCAGGGTCAACAGCTGGTGTACTCGAACCGCTGAGGTGCAGGTCAAGATACTGACCCGGCTTGTAGGTGTCATGATCGGCTGGTGTAGTGACTGTGGCATTGCTCACGGGTGTGAGGCTGGCCACGGTGCTATCCCACAGACTCTCGTTCTCAACTGGCTCCATACTGGTGGTAGAACTGCTTTGCCTTGTTTGGTGCTTGTGGCGGTTTCGTGGACAGAGGTAAAATGAGCATGCGCTGTGTTGTTTACTGTCAAAAGTGAACAACAGATGGACCTGAAGCAGATGGGCCGCTTGCTACAGGTGCGACATAGGAACCAGGTTGTGATTCGTGCTTGTGGTGGTGTGGGCGCAATTCATTCCCAAGTTCAAAGATACCAGAGAGCATTGGTCCCAGAACAGGAATGCCAGCCACAACTTCACCCGTGATTTTCAGGCCACGCCCTGTTTCCTCATCTTGCTTTGTCTCTGGGCCTTTGATAGGTTCGCGGTCAGACATGACTGTTGGTTCTAGAGTGCTAGAACGGCGCTTGCAAGTTCGCCAAGACCTTCAGCTGCTCCGCTTTCGAGCCCGTCGCCTACTGCTTCCCCAGTCGGCGCCAAGTCTTGGAGTTCAATGTCGGTTGGGTACTCTGGCTGAACGTCTGCTGCTTGTTGTTCCTGTTCGCCTTCGTCCATGGATGTGGGCTCGTTCTGTGTCTGTGATAAATCAGACATTTCAATGCTCTCCGGTGGCTCATGCTGAGTGTGGTTTGTGATGGGCTGCTCCATACCGTTTGTCATGCGCTGCCATGTGTTGCGCACGCCATCAATGAGAGAGGGGCCGTGCTCGCCGTAGATCTCAGAGGGAATGCTGAATGTAGGGTTCTCTGGATCTCCAATGTCAAAGCCTGTGTTGTCACGCATGACGTCACGCGCGGATGTGCGCCCGATGTCACTTTGCACGGAATCCAGTGCCTCTCTGCTGTTGCGGAAGGTGGAGGATACGCGATCGCCAATGTAATCACCAGCTTTGCGCACGCCCTTGCCGACTGCTCTGAATCCCTTGCCAACCCAGTCTGCAAGCAGTTCTTCCTGTGTCTTTCCAGTCATAGCCTTTGTAAGCTCATTGGCAAACATGTGCGCAACGGGGTTCTGCTGTTGCTCGATGAGGTTGCCAATGCGCTCCTGCGTGCGTTGCTGTAAGCCAGTTAGGTAGTCGTGTGTCCTCTGCTGGACCGCCTGCTGGTACAGCTGCGCCTGCTGCTCTGTTGATCGCGACATGTTGGTGTGTGCGGTTGGTTGAGAAAAATGTACTGTCGTGTGCATTTATTTCTGCATGTGAAGAAAGATGGCGCGTCGCCAGCAAGACGATGTGTATGATGATGATGGGGAGTTTGATGATGATGATGACGATGATGATTTCCAGGACAATTATCGTCCAACGATTGTGCGCCGGGATGCCCGCTCCGTATGGCAAGAGCTTTCCCTGGTTCGCCCTGAAAGAGTGCCAGCAGCACGAGACCCACCGACATCGGTGACATCCGGCGGGGTTCGCTCTGATGTGAACGTGGATGCGCTTCCCAATGTGCGCAGGATGGACACGCGTCGAGATCCAAACGCTCCTGCAAGTTCAAGTTCCAGCAGCAGAAGGCGACGTGTTCAGGCTGCATCAGCATCAAGATCAGCATCAAGACCAGCAGCAAGGTCAGCATCAAGATCAGCATCAAGAGCACACAGAGGGAGCGGGCGAAGAGGAGCAGGGCGAATGCCAGGACCAGGGCGAAGTCGAAGGCTAAGCGCAGGTGAAGTACGGTTGCTGGAGGAGAGAGATCCCAATACCAGCTATGTTGATCGTTTCCCTTTGAACAGAGTAGGAGGTGTGAGGTTCGGGAGAAGGGGACTGGGCATGGGTCCTGGAGCTCGGATCGCAGCTGATATGCCGTACAGCTTGACACCACCACCACGGTTTTCAATTCGAGTGCCTCAGCCACCGATGACGAACGTAAACCCTGAGCAGCAAATCGATCCAATCGTTCTGAATGCATTGGGGCAGGACGATGGTGATTTTGATATGTATGTGAGGGAACGCAATCCGAGGACGAACCGAATGCTTGCAAGACCCGTGCGGAACATTAACAGCATGGATGAATCGTCGAGTGAGATTGTGGCGCAGTGGCAACGACGACTGCTTATTCAGCTGAGCAAGTGCTTGCCCGTGTATGAGACGGTGAACGACGCGAATGGAAATCCTGCATACTACATCAAGCATTTGGCACCGCTTGTGTATGATGAGCAGGGAAACCTGAAGGTGGTGAAAGGCATTGCAAAAGGTGTGAATCCTACGTTCGTGAGCAATGGTGTGTCTGGTCAAGTGTTTTCTGGTCTGTATTGGCAGTTCAGGCGTGAGCAGCGTAGACGGGATGGGTCGCAGGTGGAGTTTGTTGGTTCGCACCTGTGCCATCGTGGAAACACGAACCCGTTGCTGGTGTATGAGACAAGGGGTGATGAACATCAGTTGTATGAGTGGGTTGTGCCTTGTGTGAATCCGGCGCATTTGTGTGGAGAGACGAGCACGTTGAATACGTCACGCATTGGTTGTCCAGGCATGGCCATTGGTTGCAGTCATACCCCAAAGTGTTTGCGTCCTGCTGCTGAATCGTCCATGCGTTCATACCACTACAGCTTTGGCTTTGACGCGTGAGTGTGTGTGTGTGTGTGTGTGTGTGTGTGTGTGTGTATGGAATAAACAAGTGAGGGATATGATCATTTACACGATGGTATAGATATAACCAAGGCAACGAGGAATATCCCCTGGTTGCCAGAGCCGCCGGTAACTTTTCGGACACCTCTAGGTTGAAGCTGTCAACAGGCGCAGTGCAGAATGGGAGCTTAGACGCACGAGTGCGTTGTTCACTCTTATCCGCCGCGACTAAAGGATCGATAGGCCATGCTTTCACAGTTTGTATTCATCCTGAAAATCACAAAATCAAGTGAGCTTTTGTCCTTTTACTCCACATGAGATTTCCGTTCTCATTGAGCTCACCTTGGGACACCTGCGTTATCGTTTTACAGATGTGCCGCCCCAGCCAAACTCCCCACCTGACCTCGTCTTGAAAGCGGGTCGGGATCGGCATAACATGAAGCGCAAGAAGCACTCCACGCTGCCCTCCCTTTCTCCAGAAATGGTGCACATGTGTGATCGGGTGCGCACAGCTCACACAAGAAATGCGCGCTACGCACACCACAATCACCCACACCAGCCCCGTGTCATTCAATAAGCAAAAAAACGACCAGAGTAGTGGTATTTCAAGGCCGCAAGCACAATTTAATGCATTTGCTCCCACCTATGCTACACCTCTCTAACCCTAACACGGTCGGACTAGAGTCAAGCTCTAGCGGGTCTTCTTTCCCCGCTGATTGTGCCAAGTCCGTTCCCTTGGCTGCGGTTTCGCTAGAGCGTAGATAGGGACAGTGGGAATCTCGTTAATCCATTCATGCGCGTCACCAGTTAAATGACGAGGCATTTGGCTACCTTAAGAAAGTCATAGTTACTTCCGCCGTTGATCCCGCGCTTGGCTTGAATTTCTTCACGTTGACATTCTGAGCACTGGGCAGAAATCACATTGCGTCTACACCGTCGCAACAGCCTATCCTCGCAATGCTTTGTTTTAAGTAAACAGTCGGATTCCCCTTGTCCGTACCAGTTCAAGATCGGTTGCTAAAAAATAGTGTGCGCAGAATGTAGAGGTGCAAGAACGGCATGCAAGCACACCCCCTTTCACCCCCACACCCACACACACAATCAACCTCTTGAGCCAATCCTTATCGCGAGCTTACGGATCTATTTTGCCGACTTCCCTTACCTACATTCGTCTATCAAACTAGAGGCTCTTCACCTTGGAGACCTGCTGCGGTTATCAGTACGGCCAACCACGCCCACATGCAGCGGAGAAAATAGATTAGCACAAGTGCTTCTCTTCTTCCCCCCACACTGCTACCATTCACACCCTCGGATTTTCATGGACCGCCGGGAACGCGCCGGACACCACAACAAAAAGAGGTCAGTGGTGCTTTGCCGAGCCTCTCACCCCATCTCCAGCCAAACTGATTCCAGGGTCAGAGAATGCGACGAGGAAGGTTGAAGAGCGCAGAATAAACTAACACTCTTCCCCCTACTCCCCCCCACAATGCAGCTCGTTAAAAAGAAAAGAAAACTCTTTCCAGGGCCCCCGGCAGCGTCTCCGAGTTTGTACGCGTTGCCGCTGCTCTATCAAAACATTCTTTGTGGCGTGCGTTGGTCCAGGAATCTTAACCTGGTTCCCTTTCGATGGACTGGGGTATTCAACACGTGTGCAAGCATGGCGATAATATCACCACCACCCACACACACGCAACAACTCCCCACTTGACACAGGACTGCCCCATCTCTTAGGACCGACTCACCCGTGGCCAACTGCTGTTCCCACGGAACCTTGCTCCACTTCAGTCTTCAAAGCTCTCATTTGAATCGTTGCTACTGTCACCAAGATCTGCACTGGAGGCCCCTCCACCCAGGCTCACGCCACAGGCTTCCACGGCAAAAAGATTGCTCTCACGCAAACACCTCCACGCCCACCTACTTGTGTGTGGCTACATGTAGTTTTGAGACGCAACAAGCACGAATGCTCGCTTCGCTCGCTCTCTTCCACACACAGCGGAGTATAGGTACGACGCTTGAGCGCCATCCATTTTCAGGGCTAGTTGATTCGGCAGGTGAGTTGTTACACACTCCTTAGCGGATTCCGACTTCCATGGCCACCGTCCTGCTGTCTATATCAACCAACACCTTTTGTGGGTTCTCATGAGCGTCGATTCCGGCACCCTAACTCCGCGTTCGGTTCATCCCGCATCGCCAGTTCTGCTTACCAAAAATGGCCCACTTGAGACTCGGTTATTCAGCATTGCCCGCTTCATAAACAAAGAAAGCGCGCCGCCTTACCCATTTAAAGTTTGAGAATAGGTTGAGGGAAGTGGCTCCCCCAAGGCCTCTAATCATTCGCTTTACCAGATAAAACTAACCAAAAGATCATAAAATAAGTCTCAGCTATCCTGAGGGAAACTTCGGTGGGAACCAGCTACTAGATGGTTCGATGAGTCTTTCGCCCCTATACCCAAGTTCGACGACAGATTTGCACGTCATGATCGCTACGAGCCTCCACCAGAGTTTCCTCTGGCTTCGCCCTACTCAGGCATAGTTCACCATCTATCGGGTCCTAACATCTGCGCTAAAACGCAAATCCTTCAGCGGAGGAGGGTGGAGCCACCGCACACCCCTTTCCCCTCCCCCAATCCAGATCGGTCGATGGTGCTGCGAGTGCTGCTGTTAAAAGTGTACTCACGCACACTTCCCAACACTGCATCCCACCTCTCACTTTCATTGCGCGCCCTAGCTTCATGCTCGCTAAAACACTCGCGCACATGTTAGACTCCTTGGTCCGTGTTTCAAGACGGGCCGTTTGCAGCCCTGTCGCCAGCATCTCCCCGGTGGTGTGCGCCAAGCGGCAAGCGCAACATTCCCAACACTGCCCGCACACACTCTGTCAACAGCACAAGAGAACGAGTCTCTCATCCCAAAACAAGAGTCTGCGCAACACAATGCCGAAAACAGCACCCATGCCAAAGACCACATAACAAAGCCACCGCATCGATAATTTCCTCAGTCCCACGTGCGACAGAAACATAAAAAAGCAGATGCGCCACGCACAAGGGCGCCCTCGCATCGCCGTCTCTCACACACAAAACTCATGCTGGCAGACACGCCCCGCGAGTGCAGGCAGCGCAGCACACAACAACAGCAACGCAGCGGCGCATATGTGCAACAAGTGCACACAATACACCCCCCGCACCGTCATCACACACCACACCAAAAACCCTGATCACAAGGCGCGCCCAGTCTCTGCTAGCTGCAAGCGATTCTCTGTCAACGGTTTCACGTACTGTTTAACTCTCTTTTCAAAGTGCTTTTCATCTTTCCCTCACGGTACTTGTTCGCTATCGGTCTCGTGCCAGTATTTAGCCTTGGATGCAGTTTACCACCCGGCTTTGGGCTGCATTCCCAAACAACCCGACTCAAGAGAATAAACGGACCACACACCGCACATCAGCGCAAATAAACTAGCACCAGCGGGACTCTCACCCTCTCCGGTGTCCTCTTCCAAGGAAACTCGGTGCTGCGCCAAACAACAATGCACAACAAAAGCTGTGCACCATCACAAAGACATGCGACGGCCCGCATCCCATAAAGACTACAACTCGCCACAAAAAAGAAGCTTGTGGAGATTCCAATGCTTGAGCTCTTCCCGCTTCACTCGCCGTTACTGAGGGAATCCTTGTTAGTTTCTCTTCCTCCCCTTAGTGATATGCTTAAGTTCAGGGGGTACCCTTGCCTGACCTGAGGTCAACAATGAGAATGAGTAGAGGAGGGGAAGGGGTTTGAGAGGGTGAAAAAGTGGAGTGGAGTGGTGTGGATGGATGCAGTGGTCTGTGCGCATACACTGCAACAAGTGCAGTGCTATGCACACAAACAGTGCTCCGTCCACCACTATTCCAGCTTTCCTTTCTCTCTCACACATGTTCCCTCTCTTCTTCATCAGTGTTTTTGCTCACATGACCAGTGTCACAAAAGCCACATAAAGATGCAAGCACACAAGTGCACATGCCTCTTCACACACACACACAGCATACACACCCTGCAGAACAACGATGCCAGTTGACACATCGCTCCACAGCTTGGTGTATCCTGCTGCATATGCAGATACAGCATGCGCGTGCTTGCCGTGGTCTCGCAACAACGGCACCCACACAGCGACAGTGAGTGATGACAACAGTATGAGAATAGAAGTGGGATGTGTGTGTGTGTGAATCACATCAACTGCAACAACACAACGCACAAGGCATCGTATCATCGTGCAATGCAATCCACATGCTCACACACACAAACACCCACTCCTTCTTCGTCACAGTCACTATCACCATCATCATCGCAATGGAGTCGTAAGCTCTCCTCTTCAGAGTCCAGTCTCACACAATACACACACACAGCAAAAATGTGTGTGTGCACCGCATCGACTAACACCCCATGGCCACCAACAATGCACAGTGCAATAATGGGATACGAGTACATGATGCATGGGCGCTTCCTCATACTGCTACACAACAAGCATCACCACACCAACAAAGGTGCGCTGCTGCTGCTGCTGCATAGTTGCAGTAATCAAATACACCCACACAAACACTCACACACTCGTAAGCACACAAAAACGCATTGTCAATGAGATTGAGTGGCGACACTCAGGCAGACATGCCCGCACGCACAGACACGCACACAATGGCGCATGCCCACACACACAGGCGCAATGTGCGTTCGAAGATTCAATGATTCACGGAATTCTGCAATTCACACTACATTTCGCGTCTTGCCACGTTCTTCATCGATGCACGAGCCAAGAGATCCACCGTTGAAAGTTGTCTCATGGTTATTAATTTGGTTGTGTTGAATGAGATGTTGAGATTGAAGTGAGAGTGGTTGCACATGTATGTGTTTGTGTGTGTATTCCAACGCACAATGTTTGTTGGCACACACTCACACACACAGCACAACGCTCTCTCTCCCTCTCTTTCTCTCACTCACTCGTTTGTGGTTATCATGTATGTACATATGTCCACAGCACGGCACACATGGCTTGGATGCTGCTGCTGCAGCAAGATGCTTTCGCCCACACTGTCATGTGTGTGCAATCGCAGCCGCTGCCACAACAACAATCCAAAACATGCTTGCTTTCTGCGTTCATTTCTTCTTCTTCTTTGCACGAGGCAAACAACGTATACATTACACACACACACAAGAACACTGCCATCGCAATGCAACACACACAAAATGCGTGCTCCACTGCGACACACAATGCCCATGCACGCATGCACATGCTTTTGCTTTGTTTTGTCTTCATTCACACAATGCTCACTCCCACACACAAAAGCGTGCGAGAGCGATTTGGTTGGTTGGCTCAGTTGGCTCAGTTGGCTCAGTTGGCTCAGTCCAGTGTCTCCACCTTCCCTCACCTTCCCTCACCCCTCACCTTCCTTTCACCAACCACGCTTTTCAACGTTTTCCTTGTTGGAATGATCCTTCCGCAGGTTCACCTACGGAAACCTTGTTACGACTTTTACTTCCTCTAAATGATCAAGTTTGACCAGGTTCTCAGCAAAAGATGACATGGGCAGCTGTTGCCAGCGCCCACGCGCCAATCCCGAGGCCTCACTAAACCATTCAATCGGTAGTAGCGACGGGCGGTGTGTACAAAGGGCAGGGACGTAATCAACGCAATCTGTTGAATTGCGCTTACTAGGAATTCCTCGTTCAAGATGAATAATTGCAAGCATCTATCCCCAGCACGACGGGTTTTCACAAGAGTCCCCACGCCTTCCAGCGCAGGAATAGATGTTCATGGCAAGAGAAACGCTTTCACGCTCCCCACCACAAACACCCAAAGCATACTCGCTGCCCCCGTCAGTGTAGCGCGCGTGCAGCCCAGAACATCTAAGGGCATCACAGACCTGTTATCGCCTCAAACTTCCTTCGGCTTACGCTCAATAGCAACGCCGAGTGTCCCTCTGAGTGGTGTGATGAGAGACACGCTTGCGCGTAATCTCCAACGCCTGCTAACGCAGGCGCACACCAATCAGCAAGTCAAGGTCTCGCCGTTTACCGTAATCAAACAGAGATTTCACAACAAAAGCTGGACGGCCATGCACCACCTCCCTTGGAATCAAGAAAGAGCTGTCAATCTGTCAATCCTTCCCATGTCTGGACCTGGTGAGTTTCCCCGTGTTGAGTCAAATTAAGCCGCAGGCTCCACTCCTGGTGGTGCCCTTCCGTCAATTCCTTTAAGTTTCAATCTTGCGATCATACTCCCCCCGGAACCCAAACGCTTTGGTTTCCCTAAAGGTCCCGATGGCGCCTCCACTTGATAAAAGTTTGTGCTGCCCACCGAGCCCTGGCCGGCATCGTTTATGGTTAAGACTACGACGGTATCTAATCGTCTTCGATCCCCTAACTTTCGTTCTTGATCAATGAAAGCGTCCTTGGCAAATGCTTTCGCAGTCGGCGGTCTTTCGTAAATCCAAGAATTTCACCTCTGACAACGAAATACCAGTGCCCCCAACCGTCCCTATTAATCATTACTTCAGACCCGATGTGGTGAGGGAGGAACAAGAAAACCTTGCGGTTTCTCACTCCACACCCCCGCACCACACGCCAACAGTACAGGCCCAAAAGTCCTCTTCCGTTGTTCCATGCTAATCTATTCAAGCAAATCAAATGACTGCCTGCTTTGAACACTCTAATTTTTTCAAAGTAAAGCCCCCAACAGCGCCCCACCACTACGTGACTTGACACACACCCAATCAAGGGCACGCGCCAAAGGCGCCACCAGGGAATATTAAAACTGCAGAGCGCAAACAGTGCAGGGCAAGGGCGAAACAGTGTCTCTCCCCCACCACACACCGTGAACCCCGCATGAAATCCAACTACGAGCTTTTTAACTGCAACAACTTTAGTATACGCTTTTGGAGCTGGAATTACCGCGGCTGCTGGCACCAGACTTGCCCTCCAATTGTTCCTTGATAAGGTCTTTACATTGTTCTCATTCCAATTGCACAGTGCATAAAAAACACCGTGCATTGGTATTTATTGTCACTACCTCCCTGTGTCAGGATTGGGTAATTTGCGCGCCTGCTGCCTTCCTTGGAAGTGGTAGCCGTCTCTCAGGCTCCCTCTCCGGAATCGAACCAAATGTTCCCCGTCACCCGTTGTCACCATGGTAAGCCAATACCTTACCATCGAAAGTTGATAGGGCAGAAATTCGAATGAGACACCATCACACACAAAAGTGTAACGGTCAGCAAAGTTATTCTGATTCACCAGTCATGTTCCTGCTGGCTTTATACCTAACAAATGCAGCCCTCGAGAAGACAAAATGTGCATACACACACCTCTCTCTCGGGCCTTGTCGCACGTATTAGCTCTAGAATTACCACGGCTATCCGTCTAGCACAACACCGCTCCGAAAAACGAGTTGCAAACTATCAAATAAACTATAACTGATTTAATGAGCCATTCGCAGTTTCACAGTATCAAGAATACTATTCATACTTAGACATGCATGGCTTAATCTTTGAGACAAGCATATGACTACTGGCAGGATCGACCAGTTATCTCTCCATAGAAGGCGAGTGGCAGTTGTGGTGTGTGTGAGTGTGTAAATGTGTTAATGTGTATGTGAATCGTGTAGAGATGCATGTGAATGCGTGTAGGTTGTAGAGCCCACACACATTGCACACACACAATGCACGACACATCATAATGCACAACACACACGCAAAACACACCACAGCTGCCGCCCAGCTATGGCTGTCGAGGATTCAGAAGAGAAAAGAGAGATAAGCAAAGGGGAAAGAGAGAAAACACACAACAATGCAATGAATGCTGTGCATCTTCCCTTCTTCCCCTCACTGTTCACTCACTCACTCACCCTGCACCCCGACAAACAAAGCTTCCACAAGCAACACGCACATCGCTGCACGTGCCACTCGGGTCGTTCTGTTTTTCTTTTTGGTTTTGTTCTTGTGGCTATGCACACAACAACAACCCCAGACACACACACACAAAAAGGTGTGTGGATGAAGCAGTGACATTCAATGCAAATACACAATGTGTGTGCTGTTCTCAGTGAGTGCCAGTGACAACAACCTGCTCTGCCAACAAAGCACACACCACCATTGTTTCGCATCTGCATGCATGCGCATGTGTGTGTGTGCAAACAACGCGACGTTGCTCACACAACACACAATACATCACACAGCACACACAAATACAATGGCAGCACGTGCCCATCAGCAGCATGCAGTGCGCATGGCTCTCTTTCGAAACAACACACAACACTGTCTCGCATCAAATGTACTTCATCCACGCATGTGTGCGTGCCCAAAATCATCATCGTGCTCACAGCACAGTTTGCCTCCACTCATGATAGAGTGTTGCTCAAGGCACCCTCTCAAGAAGAACAATCCACACCGCTCTCACGGCGGGATTGCCTCCTGCATGCGCAAGCTTGGTGTCATCAAGGACAGTCGCCACCTGCCAATTTTACGGCAGACGGCGCCCACCCTCTATCAGAGATCACAGCAGATAAACACACATGCATACATGTGCCTTGCCGTCACTCCGCCAGCGGCTTGCAACTTGCTTCAACATCATAGACTTTTGGCTCAACACCAGCAATCCATGCAAAGCTTTGCTTGCTCTCGCTCGCAATACTTCATCGACCCGCATGTCACAGCGGGCTGCGTCTTGCCTCCAAAGGCAACCACAGCCACACCCACAACACACAGCTGACAACGTTTTGTTTTTCACTGTGCCACATCCACGTGTGCAGCAAAGCAACTGCCAGCCATCCCCAACACACAAACACATCTTGGCTCATCGCCCTTCTCCCAACGCACAGCTACACACACAAGGAAAATGCAAGCCCATTCATGCGCACACACGTCATCTACGCGCCAGGCACATCGCTGTGCCCGGGTCTCAATGCACCATGCGTGCAGGCTTGCTTCCTGCGTCTCGCTGCGTCACATCACACAAGAATGTGAAATGTGAGGAGAGAAGAACAATCAAGAGCCAACAATGCGTGTTCGTATGAGAGGAATGACAAGCGCTTCACACTGTCACACTCAGAGGAAGCTGAACAATCAGCTCGCCCTCTTTCCGCAAACACAGTCGTTGCTCGCCACAAGCGCATATGTCGTGTGTTGCTTTGCTTCTGTGTAGTAGAGATGTGTTTGCTCATGCGAGTGATCACAAGAACACACACAGAGACACGAGCAATCGCTTGCTCGCCTCCCCACATGTGTCTCATCACACCCACACACAATGCTCACGCATCACACACACACAAGCAACCACACACACAGACACACGCCCGTGCTGTTATCATTGCATGTGCCGTGCATGCATGTGTGCCCGTGCAAGCTTTGCTCACAACACAAACAAGTGTCGCTTCGCTTTGCCTGCACTCACACACTTCACACACACACAAATGAAGAGAGAGGTCGCTCAAAACACAGCAGAACAAAGACCCAAGAAGAAAGAGAAGTTGTAGCTGCAAGGGCGCAGACGCGGCTTTTCGTGCCCGCAAGCAATCCTGCTCAGCGACATTCGCCTTGCTCTCATGCTTGCGCCTCTACTCAGCGGCTCTTTGCCTTTGCCTTCTCTTTTTCTTTTTTTGTCTTGCTCATTTGCATCCTTCCTCTCATGTATGCCAATCCATCGAGCGGCAGCTGTTTGAATCGCTGCTTTGCCCTCGTGCACTTTGCCTGCAGGCACCGCAATCTAGATTCAGTGATTCTGCTAGATCTAGATTTGTGACTGGATCTAGCAAGCACGCACAGCTTCACTGCATCAAGATTGTT